TGACTCGAGGGTACATCCAGAAGACCTAAATCTCCAAAAGAATGTTCAAAAGGGACTCATTTTGTAGAATACTGCATAATGAAAGCTAATTCGGGCTCCCCCAAATGTTTCAGCACGCATTTCCCGCGTGTTCTCAGCAAGTTTCTCCACATGTTCTCCGCAAGTTCCTCACACGTTCCCGAGGCTATTGCGGGGAGCGCTGCATGCTGTTTCCGCCGCACCACAGGATGACCTCGTCCCCGACGAGTACAGGCGGGCGTAAACACCTATACAGACAATTCCCCTGGCGGGAGAGGGTGGGGGGGCTGTGGACGGCTCTTGCAGCCGCGGTTAAAGAGAGGCAGACGACCGCGCCGCGTGAAGAAGGGTAAATAGTGTTTCTATGAGTGCATGCAAGTGCATATAAGTGTTCGTTAGCGAATACAAATATATAGTGGGAAACAAGAGAAGCAGAAGCACCCCCAAACATTCAAAACTAGCGTGGAGCTTAAATTGCGCAATATAAATAATGCACATGGTGTTCGATGCTCTATCAGAAAATGTAAATACAGTAAACCCTCATTAACGCGCATTCCAAGGGACCGAAATAATTGGATTTCGTATTATATAAATTCGTTTTATCCGACTATTGTAAATGTCCGTATTACTATAATCCATTGCCGGGACCCAATTTTTCTTCGTGTTACTGCAAAATTCGTGTTAAGCGGGTTCGTGGTAACGAGGATTTACTGTAGTTAGAATAAGTTAAAAATTGCAGACAAAGTAGATTATGATTAGTTCGAAAGTATCTACTTTATAAGCTAGGCCGTAAGTGTACTGTGTAAATAGCATCTAAGAATAAATATTAATGCACTCCGCTGGTTACCTTACGGTTCCCGCGCGTCCATCCGCTCGCAACTTCGCATATTTCGCGTACGTACCGTAAATATTTTCCCGTAGAGATCCCAGCAAAAGATCATCTACATGTTTCCTCACATGTTCACCGAATATATCCACCGCATGATTTCCCGCCCTCTCCCCAACTCTCCCTCCCTCAAATTCAAAAAATGTAATTTAGGTTTTTTTTAATTAATTACGAATTACTTTTATAAATGACACTACAACCGTTGTGGACTGGCTCCACTGAGGAACGCATTGAGGAATTCTAACCAGCTGGAGTACACAGCAGAGCAGAAACTCCAAAAATGTAATAGATGGTCACCAAAAACCTTTCACACAAAATTGCAATATTCAAAACATAACTTTTTAAATTATTACTTTTAAATTTAAAATACATTCACTCTGTAGCCGGACGTTCAGCGTTTCTGGCAACCTATATTACGGGGTAATTGAATTGGGGACCTGGCCAGGGGAGGGAACCTGCCAAAAACGTAATAAAGCGTCAAAGAAGGTCCCAGAAGATGAAGTGTAAAAACTTAATGCGTGTCCCAGAGACCCGAAAACTTGATTTCGAGGTTTTAGGTCACATTGTTTCCAAGTTATATACGATGGCAATTGTGTTACGGGCATGGCCGACGATTGGTATTAAGTCTGAGCGCGTAGTTGACCGGTGGGGAGGGGGGTCCTTCCTCCCCTCTTCATCTCATGTTTATCATTAGATTGTTATCAAATTGTTACCACATTTAATTTACACAACTTAAGCAGAGTTCATTTTTGCAATGCAAAAACAGCCCTGCGCTATGCATTATTTTAAATATAAACTCATTTAACGAATTTTTATAATCAGTTTTTTGTGCCATTTCGCTATAAACATATAAAATTAATATTTCCGGAATTTGATGTCAAGAGAGAGAGAGAGAGAGAGAGAGAGAGAGAGAGAGAGAGAGAGAGAAAATGAGAGAGAAAATGAGAGAGAAAATGAGAGAGAAAATGAGAGAGAGAATGAGAGAGAGGAGACCGTGAAGAGAAATCGATAGAAAAAACGGTGATAGAGACAGTGAGAGATAAGAGGAGGGGAAAGAGAAAGAGGGAGATGAAGGGCAGAAACACTCTGTCGAGTTCAGCTAGTTTAAAAAACACATTTGTGTAAATTGAAAAAAAAAAAAAAAAAGAATACACCAAAATTAATTTTTTGCCATCTTAAACAGTGCAATTAGCACTATACGTAACAAAACTTTGAAACATAAGAAAAATTTGGGAGCCATTTTTGCGAAAATGGCGTTTGAGCGTTTCTGAAAATGCGGAAATTTGTGATAATTTTCACAGAAAACTTTTGAGTTTTTGAGAAACTTTATGTTACATTATTTAAAGCATACATATTCATAAATAGAATAATAATGTGAACAAATCGTCGCCAATGTTAATATTAACGCCGTGACAGCCAAGTAAAAAAAATGTAATTTTTAAAAAAAATAAAAAATAGAGGAATAATGCGTTTATGCCAACTTAGAGAACATTTAGCACTGTCCTTACCAAAAGTTTAAAGAAAACATTTGGAGCCGTTTTCGAGAAAATCTTATTTGTTTTTTTAATTGTACATATTGCACGCAATATTGTGTAAAACTACTAATTTTTTTTTTTAAATTTACATGAAAGAACTAATTATGGAAAATAAACTTCTTTTGACAGAAACATTTTCGTCATCAAAATTGTCGTTGTAGGAAATAGCCGATTTTTTTTTAACTTTTGTAATTTTCGACAATTCTGAGTTAACAGTGAAAATCGTACCTATGCCACATTTGTATTTCACTCCATTCGTACACGAAATGTAAAGAAAAAAATTGGAGCCGGTTTTGAAAAAAAAATGAAAATGTTCTCGGGGCCTCATGTATACTACCCCCAAATGTTAAAGAATGTTTTTCAAAATCTCAAATTTTTTATTCTCTCCAGATCGTCCGGGGATCGACCGAGATCGTATTTTGAAAATAATCCTGCATATGGTTTAGGCGCTAGTAGTGTTAACAGAAGGACGCACTGGCGGACGTTTTGAAAAAACAACACTTTTTCGGCATCAGGGGACTCCAAAATATATATTTCCGTCGAACTCTCGAAATTAATTTTCCGCAGCATTACTAACTTTCCCTGTATCACGTATATTACTGCATATATACGTACGTACACGAAAAAGTATAATGTACGAACACATCAACTAGAAACTTTGTATAAATTATTTTTTTAGGGACAGAGAGGTGAATGATCTGGCAACGGTCGCAAGTGTCCTCAACCATAACTTTTCCAGAATTTCGGTTGATCTCTTTGCTTAAAAACCGTACATTTGTTTATATTTTCTCAATATCTCGGTGTCCTAGTTAAATTGAAATGAGTCTTTGGGAATATCATGGAAGAGCGGTAGTTCTTTTCAAATGGAAGTTTTCCTGAAAAAAAATGGATCCATTTGGGGGAAACTATATATTATTTTATTATTATTATTATTATTATTATTATTATTATTATTATTATTATTATTATTATTATTGTTGTTGTTGTTGTTGTTGTTGTTGTTTTTTAAACTGTGGCGTACCTACTATGGGCAGGAAGTGCAATGTATGCATTTTTTTGAGCTCTGAAAACCCTACCCCAGCTCTGGAATCAACCCCTTCCCTCTTACAAACTCATAAGCCAGCATATAGGAGGGCAGGGGACAGGGAGGGCATGACCCCCTTGAAAATTTTGAACATGACCCTGTAACCTTACGTAATAAAACAATGTATTTCCGTAAATTGTTGAATCATTGTTTAAAATGATTTGTGGAAGGTATGGACACATTTTAAAATTTACAGAAATGATAGACGGATGGGCATATTATTCCTACATTGTTGCCATATCTATGTTAAAATAAGTATTATTGGTTTATTGAATAGCGATAACACATTTGAAAAAATTGTACGTTTTACTTACCAACAAAACTTAATACTTGTGCTATTGTCATTAACTCATTGAAAAGCTATTTTTCAAATATTAAAAATAATAAGTATTAATTTATGAGTTACTTTTTGTTACTTAGTAAGTTGCGAGCCCCAACAGTGGTAGGATTTTCGATACTAGCTAAATAGCTAGGTCGATTTCAGTCGCTGTCTGGAGGATAATTCTAGCGGCCGGCTGCACTGATCGGTAGTTTTATGTGGTTTATCCCATCAATACAAACAAATGCCAGAGCAGTACCCTAACAAAGGACCTCGGACTGCGCGCGATCTTTCCTTCCCCTTCCTTCTATTATCCTCACCCCTTGCTTACACACACACACACACACACACAAAACTTACATGCCTTGCACTACTCTACATGCCGGGAGACCAGCGGATATATTAGACGGTACAAAGATTATAAAAGCATTGATGCTGGTCCCTTCTTCGTCGAACTCTTGTTTACGAAAATTGCAACAAAAAATAACAGTGCATAAATTGACGATAGAGATTTTTCTTAAATATAATGTTCTAAAAAAATATGCCTTTAAATGCTGTCACTGCATCTTACTCTGACAACTGACCGTCTCTGGCGGCAGATTGAACTTCGAAGCCAGCAGACGCGATGGTCACGGATGATGACATATCAGACTTTTAATCATATTATGAACTGTTCCCAAGCCTTCAATGAATGGAATTCTAACTATGAATACGGAATATCTTTCGATTTCAAACTTTTAAAAATGTTAAAAACTATTGAATCATGTTTTATTCAAAAATGTTGCTTTCAATAATTGGAATGTGCTATCCGCACATCAAGTGAACTTGCATTTTATTACAGTTTCGTGTGATGTTAAAAGACCTATTAGTGAAATGTTGCTTTTAAAGAACTACTAAAACTTTTTGCTTTGTTTTTATCCATTTCCGCAGACTAACTTTTCTTTTTCAGGGATAAGCAATTTTAATGTGATAGTTAATATCCATTAGACGGCATGAAATAAGGATATAACAAATGAAATGTCCAAATATTCGTCGAAATGCAATTTGATTCCTCAACCAACGTTTGTTGCATTTGTTTTGCTTTGATATTATCCCATTCACGTTTTCTTCCCTTTAAACGTTGATTAGTGACCTCATGACACAGTTCTCGTGGTTCTCGTATTTCCTAACACGGTCGTCTGCTCTGCAGGTCGTGTGATGCATATAATGACCGCTTAGGTCAGTTGCGTAAAGGTGTTCATAACACGTTCTTAGAGAATGAAATCATCTAATATAGCAGACGTGAACTCAGAATGAATGTATAATACAGACGCTTTCTGAGAGTGACGTGGTCTCATTTTTAGAGAAGTCGTTGCTATCGAATTTTGTCCGTGACATCGCGCGCTGGTGCAGCTTGTCACGACCGCACGAGGGCGCACGAGTGGCACTGGCACGGCTGGGCAAGGCGGCGATGAGAGCAGGGCCAAGAAGGGAGAGTTTTTGAAGAGACTTTCAATATTTGTGAATTTGGAAGCACAGGGAGGAGAATATTCCGAGTATTTGCTCAAGATTTGGAGTGTTGTCTGCTAGGTTGGTTGTTTGGAAGCTAACATAATTGCTGATGAGTTTGGTAGTAAAAGGATATTGTTTATAACCATTTTCTAAATATAGGTTATAAAGTTAACCGTAGAGAGCGAATTTATGTATGTTTTTTGTGTATTATACTATTGATTAATTTCTTGGGTCACTTTTCAGTCATAATTATTTCTTGAAGTGCCTATAACATAATCCTTTACAATGGACACGCCTATGAAAGGTACGTCTGTTAGGATATTGAAAAAATTGGAATTTTTGCAACGCTTGATTATAGTATAACAGCTATTACCCATCTTTTGTTTATCAGATCACATTGTAATGACACCAAAAAGCAAAACATCTAATTCAACTACTCTGGCTATAGAAAGACAGTCTATTCCTATAGAAAGCAAACCATCTGATAAAATGCATGTAGCTGGTGGTGATCATCGTGGAATTGTCATAAACAAGGAAATTGTATCAAGTAAGTAAAGTTTTACAGAGATCATATTAACAGTGCAACAAACATGGTAGAAGTACTATAATTTCTTACTTCCATTACAAATTGAATTTTGAACACCATGTAATGGTTGTGTTGTCATCTATATTCTTCATGACTGCCTGACCCCTCTCTACTTTAATTAGTTAATGCAATAGATTCACTGTACCTTATGCAAACAATTTTGAAAATGTAGAATTATAACTGTATTTGAAAGCATTAATTAATTTTTTCAGATCACTTTGTAGTTCAGCCTTTTATTAAGACTGTGATAACTGTGACTTTTGTTAAAAATTATTGTGGCATACATTATATTTATAACATTTGGATTTTGTATCCTTTATGTTCAAGAACGGTCTTTTGTATTTCACAATTCATTTTTAGAGGTGACTTGCGAGTAAGAACAGGCTACATTGCCTTTGGAGTATTTTTTTAAACATGTCAACTCTATAAATCTCTCTGAAATCAAATGATTAATATATTTATTCCTGCTGGAAGTTGTAGAAATGTGTTTTTACCGTGAAAAATCTCAGAATTTACTTTGAACTAAATGTTTCTTTGCAGAAGGAGATGATGTTCCTGCACAGCTGTCATTGGAGTTCCGAGTATTCCTTGTTAATGCGCAGACTGGCATGCATACACAAGAGAGTCGTATTTTACAATTCTGGTTCATAGCGGATCTGGGAGAAAGAGAACAGGCTACAGTGGCTCAAGAATTTTTTCGTGAACTTGTTAGTCCTCAAGAATTTCCTCGAGGTAAAAATGAATAAAATGAATGATTGGAAGTGGTATCTTATGACTGGAGGTGGAAATGAGCTGACTGATATCTTATTTGTAAATTTTTGTAATTCTGGTGGAAACAGTACGTTATTTTGTTGTCACAGGGTTCTGTCACAGGAGTCAATGTTAGATGGTTTGTTTGGGGGACAAAGTTGTTGGCAGTGTTGCCAATATTTGTACTGACATTTCGAACTAAATTAGGTGAAATGGATTTCACTTATGTGTCCTGTTATCAAAAATGCTAGGACTGAGCGAAAGTGGGGATTTTTAAATTAAACAATAGTCTAAAAGGGGTTACAAAGTCTTTATTTTAGTCCAAGTTTTGGAAAAATATTTTAATGTCCAGCATGATGATTCAAATAGTCTGCTTTAAAATTTTTGGGTCTGAGGAAAAAAATCATAGTGTATTTATTTATAAATAGCCCAAGCTTAATGACATATACAATACAAATAAAATTTTACACCCAATAACTGCTCAACAGCACCAATTCACAGTAAAATAATTAGAATGGAATAATTGGCATTCAACCAACCATAGACATACTAAATGTACCAGTATAAATTTATTACTTCCAGTATTTTATTATATAAAATAATTGTATTATTAAATATTGATTTAAATTACTTCTTGTTACTTACATTTTCTTGGTGGATTTTATTTTCGTACCTTATTAAATTATTATGTACATCTGAGTTTTTCCTTATCAAATATTCCGGGAGTTATTTATTTTATACTCTATGTATAAATGTTAACATGTCTCTTTAACCTCCCTTTACACCAACAAATAGCTCAACTCTCGTAACATTGGACATTTTCTTTATGCCCTTTACTCAATACTACTCTCATTTCTCTACTAAAAGTTGTAAATTTGCTATTTTTTCTTTGTTTGCCATAGTAAGAACTGTAGAACAGTATTTAATAGGTGATATTAATTTAGTTTAAATAACTCGTTTCCTTTCTTTGTAATAATTTTTCTTAGTTTGTATGATAAATTAACATTCATTGTTATTTTATTGTTTTTGTATTATAATGGTCCTTAAAATTTAATTCATGTGAATAATCACCCCCTAGATATTTGTTATTCTTAACCCACTCCAAATTTGAACCAATCAACACCATTATCTGATTTCTTTCCACTTCCTCCCTGAAACCAGTTTTTCCCAGTACCATACACTTTGTTTTATTGACATTAAAACTCAGTTGATTACTACACAGCAACTCGCATACCAAAACCAATTCTTCATTATTATGTTAATCTTTTTGTATGTCTTTTCCACTGAAGTAAATTAATGTATCATCAGCAAAAATATGTATCTTACATTTTTCAAGCACCCCAGGTAGGTCATTTATATATGATATAAACAGCAGTGGTCCCAGTTTACTTCTTTGTAGAACACCATGCTTCACTGCTTCCTCCTCGGACATACTAGAATTAAACCAGTCTGATATCTTCCATTTCAATAATCTTCTCTCTGTTCATAAACATGGCCAGTAATACTGTATATATCATTTAGTTGCTTCAAAAGTAAATTTTGGTTTATTGTTTCAAAAGCTCTTTTATAATCCAATAAATTTGTAGTTTAAGAATTTTTAAGACAGATATGCCAAAGAGTATATGAAATTTGGTAAAAATGTTTTTATGTTATGGAACTGCTGAAAGATTCTTAATTGCATCAGAAAGCTGTTTTGAGAAACCTTGTCTAAAACAATTTTAGTTTTTCAGTTGCATGAAACAATATTGGTGTTACTATTTTGCAGATTATGTTGGTTTTATCAAGAAGGTAATGAAATTGCTACAGCACAAATATGCATCTATTCTGAAAGTTGAAGTTACGCTGAAACAGTTGGAGCAAGGCCAGGTTCCACCAGCACGCCCATGTGAGTATACAGTGAATATTAGAATCTTGTTTTTTCGATTACATGAAAAGCATTGATTTTAAAATTCTTTTCCAATACTGATACAAATGTAACAAAGAGTTCTTGAATGGAAACAAGAGTAATGTGATAATGCATTTTTTCTTTTCGATGTTTGTATTACATAACAACTCATGTGATTCAGAAGTTTAGTGATGATTCTTGTTATGATCTGGAGTTGCGTGTGTTAGATCAGGGTGTGAATTGGCAGTTTTATCCAGAAGGGGACCTTCAAATCTCGAGGAAGGTTTGAATCAAAGAATTGGTGGGAACATCTTCACTTGCACTGCATTGCCTGAATGACTCTTAAGAATGCTCTCAGAAGGTCTCCTTGTCTAATTTTCATGCTTTGTATTCCTTGGTTGGTAGATTTGAAAGTGCTGAAATCATAAACTAAGTTTTATTGCAGATTTATTGTATCTCTGTCAAGGAGAAGTTAAATTTTTCGGGGAGGGGGGATGGTTCCCTGCATTTTTTACAAGAAAAAGGGGTAGGGCTGTTATACTCCTGGAAAATGGGTAAACCTATGGAATATTTCTCCCTGGAAAAATCAGAGAAATGTCAGAATTTGAGTACACTGCTGGAAAAAATATTTTTATTATAATATGTCGCACTAAACAAATGGAACTCGATAAAACTTGCCTTTCTCTGCACCACTGCAGTTTCGGGAATTCCAATTCTTTCTCTCCGGACCACCTGGGCCCAACCCTAGCCCTTCACCAATGTAGGTGTGGTGCTGAATTTCTGAAATCCAGTGCAAAACAAGTAAATAGTGGATAGCAATACCTTCAATGCTTCTTCCTTCTGCGATTTGATTTTTACACTCCTTGCCGAAAAGTATGCCTGTTTAAAGAGAAAACACTAAAACGATTCTGCTTGTTTATCGCAGACTAGTAGAGTGCAGGGAAAACACTGAAAAGAATGTTTCCAGGCAAGATCAGAAAGTCTGAAATCGTCTCCGGGTTAATATCATCTGAAGCTTGATGAAATATCTTGGCTACAAGGTTTAGCTTTCTTACATGATATCACTTCAAAGTTAAAAGAACTAAATCATATTGCAGTTATTTTAAATTTTAGCACCTTGAGTTCTTTTAAAGATTATTTTTATTTATTAATCCTGTACAATTTGATTAATCAACATATTTATTTATTTTATGCTCGTAATAATACGTTTCTAATACCGTGTTACCTAACCTATAACTAACAAAAGTTGGATGCCATGATCGAGTACTAAATGCCATCACTTTACACTTGTCAAAATTCTTTTCAAAGTGTTTTGCAGCGTACCATTTAAATAACAAGTCAAGATCAAATTAAAGTTTATAACAATCGTGTTCAGAATCAATCATGCAATACAATTTGAGATCATCTGCATGCAATAGAAAAGAAGAATTTTGAAATACTCTTATTTAAATCATTCACATTAATCAAGAAAAGTACCAGTCCAATATGTGAGCTTTGTGGAACACCAAAAGAAATATAAATATTTCTTGTTGTGTAGGATTTATATTCACATTTTTTAGTTCTACCAATCAAATAATTTTCAAATCATTTACAAGAATATTGGTGTATGAAATTGTTATCTTTAAGGCATGTATCTGCAATTTCATGGATCATGATTATGGATGCTGCATATTGTAGAGAAATGTCAAAAATCAAGAGGCCAAAGGCCTCAAAGATATGTTTCTCACACCGTATTCTAAAGAATAAGATCTTTTTGAACATTCTATTACGTTTGTGCTGAGGGGGAGAGAAGAGAAAGAGGGAGCTTTTTAGCACATATTTTTTACATATTTTACCCGAAAGTACATACATTTACGTCTTTTACCCAAAAGAACATATTTTTACATATTACTTAATTTTTACTTTTTTTTGCAATTTCTTTCTTTTTTTTTGCAATTTTTTAAATTTATTTCTTCATTTTTCCTGTATGTTTTGTAAAAGTAATCTCCCCGACGAGCTTTGTCAAACATTTTTTCTGTAGCCTCCTCTCTAAAATGCTGCTATTTCATCACATTGAAATGAGTCAGTCTGAAAATACAGACGGTATTGCAAATTATGGGCAAGGTGACAACACAATCTCTAGCATCAGGTGTGTTAATTTTCAGCACGAGTATCACAGAAAACAGAAAAGAAGTTAGATTTGTGAAAATGATACGTTTAGTATCGCACACCCACTTTGCTTCTTTCACGGGTCTCCCTTGACCTTGATACCCTTCACCAAAAAGTACACGCCCAGCTCAGAAAATGCCATTGACGTTTTTGTTTCCCCGATTGTTACCCACACACCTTCGCTGTTGTTTGGAAATTGTTTATTTGAGTTGAAAATCTGGAAAAAAAATCATGATGTGGCAATGAAGCTTTTGAGATAAACCATATGGGGCAATGGTAATGCTGAGTTTGCTCAGGCAAGTACACTTGTTTCTGTGGATTTTTATTTCTGAAATCCATGTTGGCAATTCGAAAAGGTATCATCTTTACTGAGGAAGGTTTCCATTCGCACTTTAAAAAAATCTCTCTAATATTTTGGATAAAATTGACAAAAGGGAAATTCACCAATAATTTTGAATTTTCCTTTTGTTGCGTTTTTTGAAGTTCAACTTAATCTTGGCTGTTTTGAAAATATCTGGAAAAGTTCCAGTGTATAAGGTTGCATTAAATATGTGAGTTGACGGGTGCATAATGGCAGGCGCAAACGTCTTTAACAAACATTCCGAAAATTCACCTAAACTGGCCGAATATATTTTTTTTTTTTATCGATTATATTCAGAATTTCATAGAATGTTTTGGAAATGGACATTGTATCTAAAATTTTTTGGGTTAAAAGGGTAAGTCTCTTTTGTTAACTTGTGCAGTGTTACCCAAATTCAACCATTAATCCATAGCAAAACTGTTACATAGACAATGAACACTTGGGGCGTGATGGAGTTACACATAGTTATATCTTTCATCCGATTGTAATGCAGCACTGAACATGCATCCGTCTTGTGCATGCGTTGGATTGCTGTACTGATTAGATCTCAGGTTGATGAAGTTGACACATTGATTTCTAATACAAAAATTGATTTCTAATACAAAAAAAAAAAAATAAATAAATAAATAAATAAATAAATAAATAAATAAAATGGGGCACCTAGATTGATTCTGTGGGCTACAATGCTCAATATTTTGATTTTATACATACTAGTCCTACATTAATTTGATTCTGAAGCTGCAGCATAGGCATATCAAAGCAATTGCTTGATGCTAAAAATTTGAAACATTATATTGCATCATTTTCCAGTAAGCATTATAATTAAATCTTTGGAGACGTCTTCCTTGAAACTTTCCAACAGCCTTCCAATTGCTCAATCAGCATTCGCCTTTGTAAGAACTGTTCGTATATCATCCAAAGGTCAATAGGGGATCTAGTGAAGAAAGAAAGGTCTTTATTTCTGGAGAAAATCGCGGATTCAAAACAATTGTTCAATGGTTCAATTGGACAACTCCTCCACACTGGATATTTACCACATGTCAGATGATCTGCGCAAGTTTAAATACGCACTAGTGAGTCGTGCAATGTAAAACGCTCTTTTTGTCTATACAAGGCTATCTGACAAGATAATAGGAAAAGTTTCATTGCTGAAAATTTGAAACAAATATTTGTTTCTTATTGTAACAGAAATCGTAAATAATAGGATTGTGAAGAGTATAATGTTTAATTTTACAAAACAGTGCAATAAAGATGAGAGTATTTTAATAAAAAAGGATTGGTATAATGATAATTAATGTTACATATTTCTTACTTTTTAGTACATATTTCTATATATTAGAATACATTAGTATATATGTACATATTTTCCCAATTTTTAGTACATAATTATCTGGGCCCTACTAATCACCCATGCTATGGAGTGGGTGGACCCAAAAGAACTGATCTCCAAAAATGTAATAGGAAATTCAAAAATATATCATTTTGTTGAATACTGCTTAAGAAAAATAGGCAGACCTCACCTGTCCCTGACCTCTCAATCTTTATGTCCTCACCTCTCTCCCCTTTTCCTTCAACCTATCCCTTGTCATTTCCCCTCATATTTCCCATCTGACTCAACAAAACTTGTTATCTTTTATGACAATAAATTCTGGTTTTAAGGACGTAGGACTCATTATTTTCAAGCCTTGAAGGAGTATATTGTCTGTTACAGTAATATGTTTTTATGTCACAATTTTTTATATACAGAGTATAAATATGTAGTATATTACTTTCTCATATGCTTATGTATATGGAGTATATGCCTAGAGTAGAAAAAATCATGTAATGTTGTGGAAAAACACTTTTTGGGGGTCCCCCTGATATCGAAATGTCCGTCTGTGAACACCACTACCGCTGTATGTAGAATTTTTTCCAAAATGGATATTTCCCAGTCAATCTGGCTTGACTCAAGGTGCTGTGATTTTGATAACCTTTCTTTGAATTTTGGGGGTTATTTACATGAAGCCCCCTGGACATTTTGAAAATTGTCTCAAAAACGGCTCTGACGTTTCTCTTTAAATTTCTTGTAAAAATAAAATAAAATAAACTTACAAAGATGGTATATGTGAGATTTTTTTTACTGTTCACTCTGAATTTTCAAAAATTTGCACAAGTTTGAATTTTTTTGGCACCTTCCTACAACCACAAGTTCAAGATAGAGATTTTTCCTTCTAATGAAATTTGTTGTTCATACTTAGCTGTTTCATGAAAATCATGTACTTTGTTTTGAAAGTTTTAGTAGTTTTTGCACAATATTTGCAATTTTAAAAAATTGCAAAAACAAGATTTTCTCAAAAACGTCTAAAATTTTTTTTCTTTAAACTTTTGGTGGGGATACTGCTAAATGCTCACTATAAGAAGACATATATGCTATATTGCTCTATTCTTTTGTCTTTTCAAAAACTACGAAAATGTAATTTTTTGTCTGTCTATCATTGTTAATATTTACATTAGTGGTAATTTGTTTACACTATTGTATTTATGAGTACATGTGCTTTAAATAATGTCATATAATGTTTTTTGAAAACTCCACAGTTTTCTGTAAAAATTAGTTCAAAATTCCGCATTTTTGGAAACTTTTAAAACACAATTTTTGCAAAAATTGCTCCATTTTTTTCCTTCAAACTTTTCCAACAAATAATGCTAATTGCTCTGTATAAAATGACAAAGTTTATTGCAGGGTATTCTTTTATTTTAAAAAAATTGAATATTATTTAATTTTTTTGGAATCTGTTAATTTTCAGCAATTTTAAACACTATTGCTTTTGCGAGTTAAATGCTTCAAATGACTTGAAATTATGTTTTTCAAAAATTCACAATATTTCTGTAAAAAAGAACTTCAAATTTTGCCTTTACAGTAACATTTAAACACCATTGACTTCAAAAAACCTCCACATTTTTCAGTGAAAATTGGTCTTTATGATGAGGTTTTACTCTTCTTTAATATTGTTAAAGTAATATTGCGGTTCTAATATTCGGAAACTGAAAAATTGGGAAAATGTCAAAAAAATGTACTTTTGGCAACAGTAGATGGCAGCTAACGAGATGATGGGGCAAGACCGTAAAGCTAGTGCACATCACAGAAATTAGAAAACTCTACAATGAGAAAGTCTGTGCCATTCTTTTGCACCACTAGTTTGTCTTACATCTTTTGAATGCAGGTCTAGCGAGTAATTCCATATCCAGCAGAAGCATATTCTCGTGGTTTCATGTCAATGTTTTCTTACAAATTGTTAAAAAATGCCATCTGTTCTTAGTATATTATATAATTTATGGAGAGGATTATCTATCGTGTATTATTTTCATGATTACTCAAAAGAAGTATTGATTTCCAACCTTTGTACACTTAAATCACAAAGAGGTGGTGTTTGTTTGTTGCATATAATGGTAAGTTAAATGGTAAGACAGTAAGATGTATCGAAAATGGAAACCTGCCTTTGCTGCAAAATAATCTCAGAACAGACTATTTTCCAATGCTAAGTTCACTGGATTAGCTGGAAACCTTCCTAATATGGAAACAGAGCAGAATTTTTAGTGTGACAGTATTAAAATATTATAGATAAGATGGAAAACTGATAGTTTTTAAAAATTAAACAAAGACATGTAAGTGCGACATGACCAAGAGGCTTGAGCTGTGCTCGTCCATTTGCTATCTCAGCTACCTTTGTCTGAATGTCGAATTTGTTGCTTGTATGAAAGTTACTGTTTATTTGTAATAGCACTGACCTTCATATGCCTGTGTGGAGGGAGAGACGTGAAGAGCAATTCTCCCACAGTTCTTGTAATGCGTACTTTGGGTTCATTAGTTCTAAACATTTATTGTTGTTCTGTTCGATGAGTTGCAGTTGTTTTGTTAATTAAGTGTTTATGATGTCAGGCATCAAATTGAAAATGTTAATATTTTGAGGGAAAATTAGACTAATTGAAGATCATGAACAAAGCATCAGTTCTGTCAAGGTTTTGTCAGTTCTGTAAAGAATTTCAAAGTTAGCATGGTGCAGCTAAGGATGCGAGGATAATTTGTTTTATGAAGGTGAAATCTATGTGAGACGGTTGACGGATGTATGTGCTTGGTAAACGATCATGAAGATAGTGTATGTAGAAGTAGATGTGTGCAAGGGACATTGGCGAGAGAAATAATATGATGATTGTAGAGGTTGCTGAATGAGAAGAGCAAGAGAAATGCCAGCTAGAATTATCCTATGCTATCTAACAAAATAGCCCCAGATACTTCGAGGATACTTTCTAAATTCATAGAATGTTATCAGTTTGCAAGTGTGTCTGGTTCTCAAACTTTAGCCAATAGTGTTTGTTCTGTCATAGCTCTGGCTGGTGGACTCCTTGTTGCCTTATGTGCACCTGTTCATGCAGACACAGGTTTGAAAACAATTTATAATAGGTTCCTAACCCACGTAGTGGAGCAGCTAACTGCACTGCATTTCTCAGCCTGGTTGTTGCCATGCTGCTTTTTGTGTAACATCTTTAAAAAAGAGTTTTTTGCTGATAAATCTTTACAAGATAGAAAATTTATTTTGAAGATCACAACGTTCAAAATTGTTCTTACTCCTGCAATAATTGTTATGTTTTAAAATAGTTCTTGTAGAAGCAATTACTAGAATCACCAAATTAAATGGTATTATTTTAATATTTGTAGATGCTTCAATGAATTTCAGTGAAAGCCACTAAATCTACCATATTTACTCATGTAATTTCCTTACTCACATACGCAAATTACTTAGTGGTTGTAATGCACTTACTATGACAACTGCAGTACATTAGGTGATATTGTTAGGTTTATATGTCAAGATAGAGAAAATTTGTGCTAAAGATTTGAAGATCAATGTTTATCATAATGCAGTGTAAATTTTATGTTCAGTCTATCATTCACGTTGAGCACCATCATCAGATGCTTCAAAAGTTAAAGATTTAATTAGGGAATGGTTATGTCATTTATTTACTGATCGCCGTAGTTCTAATGATTAAAAATTAAATATTGTTGTTTTAAATGTTTTTAATTTTTACAAACTATTGTATCTATTTATGGAGAATAAGAAAACATTGCAAAAATGTGTTAACTGTAAAGATCAGTCTGTTTAACTTGCAGCATCAAAAGATATTGTGAAATTCATATCATGTAATCTTTGGAGAGAAAAATTAACATTTTTTTAGGAGAATGTATATCTTTGCTTAAACTAGTACTAGTTCTCCCTCCACCTTGAGGCTGCTTTTTGAATTTTAAAGGGAAATCGCTATTTTTAAGATTAAGTTTCTGAAACAAAAAATATGTTAATTTTGTTGAGAACTTTTTTCTGTGTTTAGTAATGCACTGTAAAAATAAAATCTAAAGCAACTTATTATTGATAGGAAATAAATGTTTTATTTTATAGTAAACCTGAAGCAGTTAGTACTTCTTTCTGTCTTCAACCTTTTTCATTGATGGTAATAAATTCAGCATGATGTAATTAAGCTCTTTCTTTGAAAAGGAATCTGCTTGCTTTATTGAATTTTTCTTTTGTGCTGATTAGAAATTGATAAGAAGGAAATTGTTCCCTATAATTTCTCCCGACTTGGGATTTTCAATACGTTCTGTGGTACTACTTGTATGTTTTTTTTATTACTGAAATAAATTATAAGAATTATGAGCAAGTAATTCTAATAATTTTTGCTGTCCTCTGTCATAAATCTTGAAAGACTGCTTCTGAAATTTATTTACATCTACAAGTTTGTTGCTTTGGATAAAAAACATAATGTGGGTAAAAATTGAGAATCCTATTTCAAATGTTAGACTGTTAGACAAGCCTCCCAGTGAATTGGCTCTTCATTGTCTAGGAAGTTGCATTTCTGGGCTGTTAGGTTTGATGTTTCTGCCATCATGTCAGAGTTACAGTCAGATCCACATCATCAAAGCTATCCTCCTGACATCCATTTATACTACTATATACAGCAGTATAGAGAACCAAGCAATGATGGTTGAAATATCAGTCTCATTAATATCAAAACAGCATTTTCCAGATTGTCAAGAGCCATACAATACAATTAAGTTGACATTGACTCTAAAAATATTGAAATGGAAATGTAATGTTCAATTAATTATCTTGTGGTGCCTGTAGGTGAAATTAAATCTTGAAAGAGGTTTTGAAGAATGTGTTCTGTTGTGTCTGTGTTCTGTTTTGTAGAATGAATAATTCAGAATAAGATGATTTATTCATACAAACGCTGAAAAGGAAGGAAATTCATGTGTGAATATATTAACAGCTAATAAGACAATATGGAATATCTGCTTTGTTTTTTTATTTTGAATGGTGTGATTGTTAAAAAATATGCTCAGTAAATGTGTTTGAAGATTTTGTTTTATTTTGTTTTTCACAATTTGCACGCAGCATGTGAGACAGCATGCTCCAAGAAATTCTGAAATACCAATGTTTGTCACCACTTTGTGGCACACTCAGTACAGGAAAAGTTGGATATAACTATGTTTTGGTAATACAATATATAATACAAACACAGATTTATGTCTAATAATATATTGAAAATATATTAATAATATATTGAAAAACAAAAATTATTTTAAAAAAACAAAACAAACAAAAAAAAAACTGATTCATTTCATTTATTGAGAATGAAATACATTTTTCTGAGCATTTAATTAAAAGTTAAAATGCTATTTATTTCTGTTATGTGATAAAAAATTGAGAAGTGCAGTGCAAAAATTGTCTCCTGCCGAGAATATGAAATAATTATATTGCTAAATAAGGTTTAAAAGAAAAACTGAAAACTTTCCAATTTTGATTCTTGAAAACAGTTATACAAATACAAGTTACGTGTTTGGAATGGAAGGAAGGACAAATCTACATGTACACCAGATGAAGTTACAGTTTATAAGGGAAGATGAACTGCAGGTTTGTGCATGGGCGTGGTACGTGCAATTTATTTGTGATTATTGCCATGTTTTGCTTCGATTTCCTTCATTGTGCTGTAGAACATGAAAAATGCAAATAACACTTACTTTCTTATCTTTCTGACTCTTGTGTACCTGCCATCAGTTTGCTAGAATAGAGAAAAATTTTAAATGTTTGTTACTAATTGTAATGTAATATTTAAAAAAAAATAATGGCTAATAACTCAAGTATAAAAGCAGTTATTGACAATAGAAATGTATTATGAATAGCAATCTCTCTTCAAAAATGTACTGTTTCACCAAGTATCTTACTAAGAACAGGATAAAGTTCCTTTGGTGGTGTAAATCTTAATCCCAAAATGCCCTCAATTACTCGTGGCCTGCTAATTTGAGAAAGAAGGGAAGCATGTTAGTGGGCTTTAGTTAGTAAGTGGGTTTTAGTTATAGAATAATAGCTTGCTGATGCATTTAATTTAAAATGCAGTATGTATGAGTTGCCCATAAGTGTCACCATGGATATTATTAGTGTTGCAAATGATAAGATATAGTAAAATAGGTTGCTATATAGGTTGTTCAATTGAGTCAATGTACCAACTTGACACTCGATGTTAGTGCAGACTGGAACCAAGTCCAATAGGCGACTGCAACTTTCAAGCTAGAAAAATTGCAAGCCTATTACATGGATAAAGGGAGCATATGCAATGGCCGTATTGCTGTTTAATCATAGACCAACTTTTAAAGGAAAAAATTGTAATCTGACCAACCAAAGGAGAAAAATGTAAATTAGGGATTCTACAACAGCACATACTTTCTCACATCATTGGAACTATTTTCAGAGTTCATCAAAAATGGGATCTACATCATTTTTATAAGCATAATTTTGCTTTATTCGAGAAAATTTAAAGAAAACGTTTTGTGCCATTTTTGAGAAAATACGTTTTTAAGAAAGCCTGTATGTGATCTTACATTTTTTCATTCCCACAATTTCCAGCTTTGTTTTGTTATTTTTACATTAGAATTTGGCACATGTCAGAATATTTTATTGGTAAGAATATTATATGAACATATAGCATTGTGTCAAACCAAAACACATTTAGAATCAGTGAGAAAAAACTCTGGAATTTTTGCTCATTAGGGCTCTTTTGAGCACAAGTTGACCAAGATTATAGACATGTGTGAAGTTACAGGACAAAAGAACCTAAAACACATGCATTGTTGAGGTGATTCCGATAGTTTTCCTGCCTACACTGTGATACATGCAGGAAACTTAAAAACCGAAACAGGAAATGCCTATGTAAACTCAGGAGTTTCCAGTTTTAATATCACATTTCCAGCTTATTCTTTACTTATGAAATAATGGACAAGATATTGTTTCTGGACCTCAACACTAAACATATAAACTCCATTTTCTGCAATTTTTAAGATGATATTTACGTGAAAACTGATGTGTGTGTGATATAAATTTTTATTTCGCAAGCCATTGAGAGTTTTCCACCCTTCCATTGAGAGAATGCTAGGAATGTGCTTAATGGAACAGTAGAAACCGCCAATTCTTGTTTCAGTATGTTGTACTTACATGTGTAGTCAGAAATGACATTTTGTTTCATACGAAAAATTGGTTTATTGCATAACCCTGAAAACCACTCTAGCTGCTAAACTGGAAGTAGGATTATCACCAAAAATGATATTCCCATATTGCTCTGGGTTATGGTTGAATTCCCACCAAAATTGCAAAAGTTAACCTTTTAATAATGTGTATTTTTTTTTTATTGATGTCTTCCTACAACCACAATATTGAAGATTTGTTGGATATTGAAGATATTTCATTTTAACGAAATTCTCTCTGCATTACTTAAAATAAGATTTTTATAAAAATTAAATTTTTATAAACAATCGCTTTTTATAAAAAGTTTATTGTTATAAAAAGTTGTTTATAAGAAATCACATTTTTCAAAATATATTTAGTTTTCCGTTATTTTGCATGATATAAAGGTAATTTTAAAAACAAGTTTTTCTCAAGAAGGCTCTACGTTTTTGCTTAACTTTTTGAATGAGTAGAGCTGAATGCTGTAAATAGGATGAAATAAACAGTATTTTGATTTAATCTTTTAATTTTTCAAAATTTATTCAAATAGTATTATAATATTATGCAACTGTTATAAGTAATGCAAGAATATATTTGCTGTTGTACACCCACTACCTTTTAGCTATTATTAAAAAAATAACATGTTTTTGCAATTTTCTAAATTCTTTACTTTTGGGTCAAAGTTGTAGGCCCTCTGGTAAACATTTGGAAAGAATTATAGCAATTTTCAAAATGCCATTTATTTTGCAGAAAAATTACTTATATCTGTAAATTAAAAATGATGTATTGGTAAAGAATGACAATGCTGTTGTTAATTAGAATCCTTCAGATTGTGAAAATTCCCAAACAATGTTTGAAAATTATTGAAAACAACCTGTTTTCAAAACCAATCTTAATATTGAATCATTGAATTTGTTCACGTTGTGACAAAGAACTTAAGAAATAATATGGAGACGGTTACGGTTTCTTCTGACCGCGTTCCGCCCCTCACTCCTTTTGTTGTTATGTGTGATTTTGTTAAGACAAATTAAATTAAAACATTTACTTTATTAACAAATTAACATTAAATGAAATTGTTTCTTTATATCATTGTTATAAATGTCTTAATTAGTACTTGTAGTAAATAGTGAAATTTTGACTCTAATTTAAAAGAATTCTGTTGTCAAATAAAATGCAATGTAAAGTTGTTTTTGTTTTTGTTACATGTAATTTAGAGCGTGTCTTCATCAATATGTAACGTGTAACGTATTTTTTGTTTTCTGCTTAATTTGTTTCAATTTTTGAATATTTTTATGTCCATTATTGCATGTGACTGAGTATTCTATCTCTCAATTTTTTCATTATTATATACATTTTCTTAGGTGTATTGGGGAGGGAAAATACCCCTGAGAAGGAACTTCATTCAAGTCTTTGCACTTTTTTTACTATTTCTATCTATGAATGTTTTTTATTGTGTCGTATTTTTATACAAAATAGAAATATTGTTTATTATTATAATTATTGTTTTATATTATTAGTATTTTATTATTATTATTATTATTATTATTATTATTGTTTTATATTATTAGTATTTTATTATTATTATTATTGTTTTATATTAGTATATTATTATTATTATTATTATTATTATTATTATTATTATTATTACTACTACTATTTTTATAAATTCTCAGCTAATATTAGTAATATTTGATAATGTGAAAAATTCAATGTTGAGCAAGTTACACTTCAAAATTTTTGCAGGAAGCACTAACAGCTACAAAGTAATGCTAAACTGAAAAAAATAAGAATAATGGGAGTGCCATAATATGTTGATGGAATTTGAATACATTAAAGATATATTCTCATTTCATTCACAGAAGAATATAGTAATTGCTCTCCATAGTACATTCTGAAAATATCAAAGCAAAACTTGCAGATTCTAACTTTGCATTAGTGTTCTAAAATATTTATATGAGGCCTGCTGCAACAACAATGCTACTGAACGAAACCACAAAAATGATACCACATAAACATTTCAACTCTTCCTTGCCTGTCAAGAATATAAAGAAAGTTGCTGTTTCAAAACACGATATGTAAACATTGATGATTTAATGGCTGGTAGCCTTTTTCTTGAAGCTTTGCTGCCACATGTTTGCTATGTTGTGAGTGGTGATGCTCTAAATAAGAATTGTTGGTCTATGCAGTATGAGTAGTAGTGGAATAACACAATGAAATATTTGCATTTTTCAGTTAAAATCGAAAATGTTCTTTGTTTTTGCATTAGATATTTAATGAATTCATAAGCATTTCTCACATGTGTGAAGGCTACAAAATATTGTTTCAATTCCTGTGTGCATTTGAAATTAATAATACACATTTATTTTCTTGTTTATTTAAGTGACTTTGAGAGCAACTTTCACTTCTTCTTTTAAAATTTTTGAAGTTTTAAAATTAAAAAGATGTCTTAAGAAAAGGTTAAAATGTTTACATTAATATCATGTCAGTTCTCAGACCCAGAAACGTGTGATGCAATGTATTGAAGGTTTGTTTGCATAGCTCTAGGTTATGTTTTACTTTCTTGTATAAGTAGTTTAGACAAAAGTTGTGTAACACTGAAAACAAAAGTCAGAGTTGAGATTAAGATGAAAATACTTGTTTGGGGGGTTTTTGATGCTGGACAATTTTGACTCAATTTCTGACACACAATTTTTTGCTTGAAGCAAATGTGCAATTGCAAATTGCACAGGTGCAATTTTCAGTAAAACCTGAAATTTTGAAAATTGTAGCCGTTAAAACTTGTGGCAACTTCTTCAACAAGAATATTAAAGATACATTTTTCTGTAGTGAAATTATTCTTCAAAATTAGATCTTTAAATAATCTCAGGAACAATTTTAGGAAAATATGAGAAGGCCTTAGTTCTGACATTTTGAGTGAAATAATAAGTAAATAATTTTTTTTTCAAAGACTGCTCCAAATTTTTTTTTACGTTTATTGCATGTGAACACAAATACCATTTAATGATGCAGGTGAGGTCCAATTTTAATTAAAAACTCTGAAATTTTTGAAAATTGCTAATGTTCAACATTTTTTGGACCTCGTTCTTCAATTACATTATTAAAGATGACTGTTTCTTCCTTAATGCTTTCTATTTTTCAATAGAAGATCTTTAAATCTTCTCATCACTTTTTTCAAAATTTTTAGTAGTTTTTGTGAAATTTTGAAGTTGAAGGTTCTGTTAAGTTTTTTCTTGATATTTATTTATATATTTCATATTTCATTTTGATTTTAAAATATTCCTTTGAAAGAATAGAATTGTGGAAGAGGAAGGGGGAAGAACACATGAAAATGAAGTGCATACCAGCCCTGAGGAAGACCACGGCAAGTCAAATGTCAGCAACATAGATGAAACTTTCAGAGCTAACAATGTGTAAAGTGACTTGGAAAGCAAACACATCGGAAATCTCTAAAACATGAAAAAAACTCTTCAATTCTAAATTATTGTTTATTCTACGTGAAATTTTCAATTTCAATGAAAATTAATTTTTATGTTCCTGATATGCAAGTGGAGTGTTTTTCTAATTTTTCAATTATTTAATAAAAGCTTAATACTCAATTGTCAAGATTTTATTTATTAAAATACCAAAATAATGTCATAAGATATATTACAGATATTTATTATTTTGTATTCTGAGCAAAATGCTTTGAAGTATAAGGGTACATGCAAGTTCTCCTGGTTTAATAGTCTATGTATGAAAAAATATTTATACTTATTTTAATAATGTATACAATCATAACTTTTTATTTATTTTTAAAATTTATATCTTTAATTTTTTAATGTTTTATTGACTTAGTACAAGATTGAATAAAAGGAATTATTTGAGTTGTTGATAAACACGACAACAGTATTACATTACACTAAACTAACACCCCTGTATCCCTTTGTAACAGTGATTTCCTGTCTCAACTTCCACCTTTTTCCCCTTCCCCCCTCCTGTATGCCCTATCCACCCCATCACCACTACAAAATTTATGAATGACTCCTAATAGAATACATATTTAACAATTTGCATACAAAATATTGTGACAGAATTGCATTAATACGTGACGTTAAGATGAAATAAATTTAAATTTGTAGTGTTTTTCCTTTTATGTTTAGAGTAAAAGTGTTAATCTTTGATAATCTGTAATTCTTTGTATCTCTAGTGTCTGCAGATGAGAGCTCTTTGGGTGTAGCACCACTACTCACAGCTGAAAAGCTTTTGGAACTGATAGAATCAGCCTATCCAAATCCAGTGTTGGAAGAAGAACTAGCCCGAGAGCATGGCTGGGAGCAAGAGGCAGTTGCTGCATTGTTGGTGGAACTGCAAACCAAAGGCCTAGTGCGTGCTGTAGAACATGGAGCTTTCACACGTGCTGGTCAAGCTGACTCTCAACTTCAGGTAGGTAGCTTAGAATTGTAATAGCAAGTGGAATATAGAGCTGGTTTATCATTCGTAACAATTGTTATAAGTGAAGTAATATGTTTTCAACAAAGCAGAAGTTTTGATGTATTTAGAAGCATTTGTATATTCAGTATTTCTATTAATAATTTGTTTATTAATAAACATTGCCAAGGCTATATTTATTCCATAAATTCAATCACTATCCATAAAAAAGAATAGTAAGATAATACAGTGTATATAAGATAATGCTACTTTTGGGTTCAATGTTAGGTGTCAGTTTAAAAGTGTGTCAGTAACAATTTGAAAATGTTTCTTTTATAAGATGCTGTTGATGCTGATCTCAAAATTCCCCCAAGGTTTGCACCTAAAGAGGGATGGCAACATGTGGGTTTTTCTTTCCATCAAATCAGACTTAAGAATTTGAGACCAGAAATGATAAAATTTGGAGGGCAGGAACTAAAAATCCAATTACTAAAACTAATAAATGAGATAAACAAAAAAGTATCCCATGAATGGAGGACATCAATAGTGGAGATCTTCAATCAGGGAACCAGTGACATAAAAAATATTTGCACACTTAATACGACAAAGACTAATCAGAATTGAAGAAGAAAAAATATCATGAAAGAACAATGTGGATTTTGCAAGGGCAGAAATATAATAGATACTATATTCACTCTCCAACAGATTATAGAAAATAGGAAAGAACAAAACTTACCAACATAGTACCTACTGTTCATTCACTATGAAAAGGCCTATGACAATGTGAGTAGGCAGAAGTTATGGGAAATTCTGAAAGAAGAAATAGTAGCAGAACATTTAATCAGAAATATCAGGACGAGGATGACTTTCACGGCTCGATGTCTGATGAAGATGCTTTGTCGCAGAGTTTGTGCAAGGGGCTCCCTTTTATTGTAGAATTTAGTGAAGGTTTTTGTCGTCTTGAGATGATGTGTTCATGTTTGTGATCTGTAAAGGAATTAGGAATTCCTAGCTTGCGTGATATTCTAAAAAATGAATGCTTAAATGTTTCCAGCCTTTTAATGTTGTATTAAAAGGATGTTGACCATATTAGTGCTCCCTCACATTCAGATAGGACTAGCAAGGAGATAGTAGATGGTTTTAAGAACCTTAACTGAATACCACTCATTGGATATTCTTCTGATAAAGCCTAGTTGCTGTATCGATTTGTTAACCATTATTTCAATATAGGTCTCAAAGGTCATTTTTGAATCAAAAAGTACTCTGAGGTCTTATATGGTGGAGACTTTTTCAAGGCTCACTTTGTCAATAGTGTAAATATTAATCAATGATTTCCGGAAAACCTGTGTACCTTTTTCTTGAAAAGGTAATAGTTCAACACTTTGATAAATTGAGACACATTTCATTCCTCTGACACCCATTGTGCAGTTTGCTGAGTGCTATCTTCATGTCTTTGCTATCTGAATTTGAAGAGATTTTCTTAAATATTTTTAAGTCATCAGCAAATAACAAAAAGTTCACATTATTTAGTACCGTGCAGATATTATTGACAAATATGTTAAATAGCATTGGTCACAGATGAAATCCTTGGGGAACTCCAGGCAGGGAAGATGTTTCATCCAAGGTCAAACTCTCATATTTCACCAGCTCATGTCTGTCTGTCAATTAACTGGCAAACTATTCTAGCAAGTGACCTCTAATACCATAAGATTCCAGTTTGCTTAACATTAATCTGTGATTAACCGAATCAAAAGCTTTACTAAACTTTACAGGCACACTATCTACCTGTGAGATGTCTTCCATCAAATTTAGTAATATATTGAGTATAACAAGATGATGAACATAACATAATAAGTTTAATTCAATATTGCTGTAAGCCATATAAGCTATATGTAAAGCCATATTGCTGAGAAGACAAGAATGGCTTATTTTTCTTTAGTTTCTGTTATCAGCAACTCAAAGCATTTGAGAATTATGCTAGTAAATGATCTAGATCTGTACCTTGAAATTTCATTCTTAACTCCAGATTTAAAAATTAGTATAATGTAAGCAATTTTCCAGATGTCTGGAATTTGACCTAGAGAATTGTCAAATATTAACTTCAGGTAGTATGAAAAAACAAATGCACATTGTTTCAACATTATTGGTTGAATACCATCGGGTCATTAATATAATAATAATAATAATAATAATAATAATAATAATAATAATTGTTATTGTTATTGTTATTATTATTATTATTATTATTATTATACCAACACCAAATAATAATAATAATAATAATAATAATAATAATAATAATAATAATAATAATAATAATAATAATAGAATAAAATGTGATAAAGAATAATTAATGAAAGAAAGAATAGAAGCAGATAACTTGCCACTCTGACTGTGAATCTAATTTATACGACTATATTTATCAATGCATTCAGAAATATGCTCCTAAAAAGATTATTACATAAGTGCCTTGAATGTGAGTGATGTTAGTGATGTGATGAGAGGGTTGTGATAGCAAATAATGTTCATGATATATACAAGCAAAATCTGAATTCAGAAAAAAGTTATGTTCTTTAGCAGGAATGAAGGTAAATTTTGTTGTATTTTATTTTATTTATTTATTAACAGGACATGCTTTTAGGATTACAAATAATTACACAAAGTAAACGTCATGCAGGTTACATGCCTTGATGCAAATAAAAATACAAAAAAACTAAGTACTAAAATGATACAAAATTAATAATGATCTGATTATATACGTTGAAATTTAAATAAGTGTGTCAATGGAATGTTTGGATCTTAATTATCTAAATTATTGTTAATGTTGTGTGTTTGTAATGAATTGTGTTTATAATGAATGCCCTTATATTCAGACTTAATGGAAAGCATTGTTGCAATGTAAGGAAAAATGTCTTTAATTTGTCAGGTTGTGAAACAAATGCCAACCATGGTGAGTGCTAAACAGCCAACAATTGCAATTATCACAGCACAGTACTGTGAAAAATTGGCTGTGGATACCATGATAGAAAACAAGGAGACATTTGTACGCTACACTACTGTGGGTGAGTTTAATTATTTTTATTATTGTATTATTGAATTTGCTTAATGAATAATTTTAGTGTGTCTGAGCATGCATGTGTGGGTATATGTAACTTTGAGAGATGTATGATAGGCGTACATTTGTTATGTGTGCGTTTGTGTAAGTGGTATTGCTAGAGCAATTAAGAAAAGTATTACAAATGAAATATTTTACTTAAATTATGTACTTATGCACTTTAAAGAAAAGGTAAATCTTTGGAGGAGTCTTTATCACACTTCTGTAAATAAGCTTCATAATTTTTATAAATAGTGATCATACTGATTAAAGGTATCAGTGAGTGTATTAAGATTTTGATGGAGGTTTGAGATGCAAATTATGGATGTATGTTCTTTAAAGAATGAGAATTGATCTTTCATGATTTATACCTTTGTTTCATTCATAAGGTAATTGTAATTGTGTTGGTAAATTTTAGAGGCAAGTCTTTTAATCAAAAAATTATTCTTTCTACACTATACAATATTGCTTTCTTGCACAATACTAAATATACCTGCATATTATTCTAACAATTATGGATGTACAATTATTATTGTTGGAATCAACATTGGAAAATGATTATGTTTTTATATGTACCAGTGTCATTTTTTATTGTCTTGTATACATACATATAAACGGAATAATATTCATACAGAGCAAGTTATGTAATGCTGTGGAAAGAACTGTGGAGAGAGACAAAAATACACTTTTTCAGGATGCTTGATACCAAGTGTTGTTTTCTTTCTTTCCTTCTTTCTTTCCTTCTTTCTTTCCCTCTTTCTTTCCTTCCTTCTTTCCTTCCTTCTTTCCTTCCTTCTTTCTTTCTTTCTTTCTTTCCTTCTTTCTTTCTTTCCTTCTTTCTTTCTTTCCTTCCTTCTTTCTTTCCTTCCTTCTTTCCTTCCTTCCTTCCTTCCTTCCTTCCTTCCTTCTTTCATTCCTTCTTTCTTTCCTCCTTTCCCTCTTTCTTTCTTTCTTTCTTTCTCTCTCTCTTTCTTTCTTTCTCTCTCTCTTTGTCTCTCTCTCTCTCTTTCTTTCTTTCTCTCTCTCTTTGTCTTTCTCTCTCTCTTTGTCTTTCTCTCTCTCTCTTTCTCTCTCTCTCTCTCTCTCTTTTTCTCTCTCTCTTTTTCTCTCTCTCTCTCTTTCTCTCTCTCTT